CTTTCTATAGGTGGTCAGGAAAACCTTCACAGATAAAGTGACATTTTGGCTGGGACCTAAAGGAAATAGAGGAGGGAACCATACTATTATTTAAGAGAAAAGCAATCTAGGTAGATTGAATTGCAGGTTCAAAGGCCCTGACATATAAGAGTGTTTGGCCTGTTATAGGAAGAGCTAGGAGGCCAGTGTGGTCAGAACAGAGTGAGTAAGGGGGAAGGGAGGTAGGAAATGCGGTCAGAGATGTTGGATGTGCTGGGAGGAGTCATGTAACAATGGCCCTGTAGGACATTGTTAGTACTTTGGCTCTTATTCTAATTGACACAGAAAGCCATGGGAGGATTTTAGGTGGAATGAGGTGGGAATGGAGGCAAGGAGACCAGGGGGCAGGCTATGAGGGGTAGTCCAGGCCAGAGCTGATGGTGTGGTTGAAAGAGGTGGGACAGGGGGTGGCAAGAAGTAACTGGACTCTACACTTTGAAGGCAAGGCCTACAGTGTTATTTACTTCTTGCCTAGATTTAGGATATGAGAGAAAGAGAAGGTCAATGGTGATGCAAAGTTTCGGCCTGAGCAACTGATGGAATGGAGTTGGGATTTACTAAAATGGAGGACACTAAAAAGTTTTATTTTAATGTTTATTTATTTTTGAGAGAAAGAGAGACAGTACAAGCGGGGGAGGGGCAGAGATAGAGAGACACAGAATCCGAAGCAGGCTCCAGGCTCTGAGCTGTCAGCACAGAGCCTGATGCAGGGCTCAAACTCACAGACCATGAGATCATGATCTAAGCCAAAGTCAGATGCTCAACTGACTGAGCCAACCAGGTGGCCCTAAAATGGAGGACATTTTAAATAATAACCTGTCGAAATAAATAGAAAAAAATAAATAAATAAATAAATAATAACCTGTCGAATAATCAGGTTTAAAGGGAGAAATCAGAAGCTGTGATTTGGGCACAGTATATTTGAGGTATGCTACTTACATACTTCAATAAGGAAAATAAATGTGGAAATTTAGCAGATTCTACATTCCCTCAGAGGATATTTCCAGCAACTTTTATTGTTCCTTAAGTATGGTCCTTGAGCAAGTCTCATCTTCCCACAAACTGTGTACCAAAATAAAATCTTCATGTGACAAAAAGAGGTCTCTTCCCAGGGTGTGTTCTGATACTGAGAAAATATAATTTCCTCCATCGTATTATATCAGCGACTTTATCCTTGATAGTTTCCACCCAAAAAAGTAATAAGTTCTACTTATTGTTTGATTACCTTACTTGGGCACTGTGGATATACTTCACACGCATATACTTTACACATGCCTCATGAGATAGATAATGTAATTTGTACCATGAGACACTGAGGCTTTGAGGGTTAATCAATTTGCCCAAAGATACAGAGCCAGGACCTAAAGCCCACATGGTCTAATCTCCTGAGCTGTTACTGTCATGCCACCCAGCTTCCCATGTCACTTACAGTGGACTCACCATCAACGGTGACTTGTATCTTCTGACTAGCTGAGAGAGTTCCATTTCCCTGAATGTTGACCTTCACGATGTAATTGCCTTCATCAGTGAATTGCAGTGGGTTAATGAGCAGCGATGCATTGGGTGGCATCATGGTGAACTTGTGTCGGTATTCCAAGTCGGGAACCACAGACTTGTTCACGGAGCCCAGTAAATATTTGGGCATTGTGTGGGGTCTCTCAAACAGCCATATAATCTGGATGTCTGATGCCGGAGTGTGGAATCCATAGTGCACAGGGAGGTAGAGGGCCTGACCCCTGATGCCATGAACGGTGTGTGATGGCACTGCGACTTTCAGCCCTGAGCAAGCGCCTGCTATGAAGGAAAGGAAAGTTATAATGACCCCGAGCCACATCTCACAACCTAAGGGGCAATACAGAGAAAACCTGATCAGGCGATAATGCTTACAAAGGAGGGAGGCTTCTAGGTACTGACCATTCTAGTACCTGTTACCTGGAGAGGTAAATATTTGTCTCTGAAACCTCCTGAGTTAAAAAAACACCACCCAGGGACTATGTTGATTGAGTGGCTTCTTTAAAGTAAGATGAAAAGGAAAAGCAGAAGTTATTATCTTTGACTGTTAAAGAATAATTGGAAAAAGAGAACTGGGAAAGATTATCAGTTCTAAAGTCTAATGACACCTCTAAAATTATGAAATTATGTTTGAGTCATATTATATCATAATCAAACTATGAGATTCAAGAAGCAATGAGGGGCTACTTCCTCCTCAGAATCTCCCTCCAAAGTCTTCTCAAATGGTTTATAGTCCATTATTGGAAGTTTTAGCCTTTAACCAAAGCCTTGTCATATGGGAATATCCCAAGAAGAGTGACATTAAACCATTATCGGTTATGATCAGTAATTCTTGCCCAGAAACAGGAACCTGGTGTGTGTTCGAGGAACAGCAAGAGACAGGAGCAGAGGGAACAGGATGGAGGACGAGGGGGGGGTGTGGTAAGACACGAGGTCAGCAAAGTGGCTGGGGCCAGATCAGGGGGTGTCTCATGGTCATGGCAAATACTTTGGCACTTCTACTCTGCGTGAGATGGGGATTAAACTGGAGTTTTGTGAGCAGACAGGATGATCTTTCTTCTTCTCCTCCTCTCCCTCTTCCTCCTCCCCCTCCCCTTCTTCTCCTCCTTCCCCTTCTAGGTATACTCTAGCAGCTGTGAGAATAGACAGAGATGGGGGCAAGAGCCGGAGTAGGGAGAACACTTAGGAGGTGACTGCAATAAAGTAAGCAAGAGATGTTTGTACTGTAGACCAGTACAGTAGTAAAAGGTTGTGAGAAAGGCTGGTGGTGCTAACAGGATTTGATGACATACTGGGGTGAAATACAAGAAGCAAAGAAGAGTCCAGAATGATTTCAAGGTTGTTGATCTGATCAACTGGAATAATGGATGTCATTTACTAATGGGCAACTAATAAGTTAACCATGTGGAAGACTGAGGAGAACAGACTTTTGCAGGGGGCGGGGGGGCAAATATGTTCATTTTAGATGCCCGTTTGACATCCAAGAGGCAGTACTGAAAGGATGTACTGGGCATGAAAGCCTGATTAAAGTGGGTTTAAGAGAGAACGAGGGCCTGGAGGACTTTGGCGGATGGAACTCTGCTAACGCAAGGCCCTGGCTCCGGCAGGCTCCCTGCTTGCCTGTGCTGTTTGGGCCCATGCACTCACTGCTACATCTGCAGGTTTCTTCCGATATTCTGGCACCTGGAAATTTCCACACCTTTACCTTGAGGCATGATATATATTTTTAAATTTGATCTAGCACTTCTATTTGTTTGCAGTCAAGAAGGGGCTCCTCCTTAGTTCAGACTACCATGTTGGTGGAATCCCAATTAAGAGCTCTTTATATATATATACAATTTTAGAAAGAGTGTGTGTGTGAGCAGGGGAGAGGGGCAAAGGGAGAGAGAGAGAAGGAGGCTCCATATGTAGCACAGAGCCCAAAGAAGGGTTTGATCCCACTACCCTGGGATTAAGACCTGAACCAAAATCAAAAGTCAGATGCTTAACTGACTGAGCTACTCAGATGCCCCACAACATCCTCATTTTTTCTTAAATGTTTATTTTTGAAGGAGAGAGAGAGAGAGAGCAGGGAAGGGGCAGAGAAAGAGGGAGATACAGAATATGAAGCAGGCTCCAGCCTCTTAGCTTCAGCACAGAGCCCAACCCAAGGCCTGAACTCATGAACCACAAGATCATGGCCTGAGCTGAAGTCCGATGCTTGACTGACAGAGCCACCCGGACATGACCCCTCTTTTTCTTCAACATCTTCATGTTATTATTATTTTTAAAATGTTTTATTTATTTCTGAGAGAGAGAGAGAGAGAGAGAGAGAGAGAGAGAGACAGTGTGAGCAGGGGAGGGTCAGAGAGAGGGGGAGACACAGAATAAGAAGCTGGCTCCAGGATCTGAGCTGTCAGCACAGAGCCCAGTGGTTCTCGAACCCATGAACCATGAGATCATGACCTGAGCCAAAGTCGGATGCTTAACCAACTGAGCTACCCAGGTGCCCCACAACATCCTCATTTTAAAAGGGAGCAATATACTACCAACATCGTATGAACATTTGAAATAGTGGGGGAGAGAATGGGGGAAATGTGAGGTATTTTGAACAGTGAGGGAGAAAAAAGAATAGAAACTGCAAACAGTGAGTATAGACAATATTTCTGGGGAGTTTTGCTGTGAGGGGGAGCAGAAAAATGTTCTGATCTTTCTTCTGTTTCTTTGGATGGGTACTGAACACTATGTATGTAGCTACTGGAATGATACAGTATGAAGAGCAAACTCGATGAAGCCAAATATAGATGAGTAAAGGTGGAATAAAATCCTTGGTGAGAAAAGATAAAAATTTGGGCACAAATAGATTTTAAAATTTTAATTTTCTCATATAAAAATAATTGTTTTCTTTTCTTGCTTTCCTTTTTCACCCCTGAGAGATGGTCTTTAGGCTTTCTCTAAGTCATATTATAAAAGGCCATCAATATTAGGAAGGGAAAGGTATAAAGGTCTGTTTGTTTGATGATTTCTTTGGCGAAATGGAAAGATGGAGTCCTGCTACTATAAGGAATCGAATTTTGTCAACAGTAAATCTCTCCCTTTACTTCCCAGGGTAGAGGTGAGAGCTAAGATTCCTGTCATTTTGGTCTTTGGTTAGCTGTTGGTAGAGAGTGAGACCTGGGTCCAGCAGGGAAGAGAGAACTCAGGAGAAAGCACAAAGAGGAACATTACACAAGGTTAGAGGGAGAAGGAATTCCTAGATGCCCACCAGAAACTGACTGCATGGACTGAGACTTAGGTGTCTGGGCAAAAGAATTATGTGTTTTATAGTCTCCTTGGTTTCTGTATTTGTGATAGACTTTGTAATTTTTTTTTTCTTTTTCTGTGGTAACGGGCTGTACCTGCACATTCATTTTAGTGATTTGGTCCATAACAAAGGAGTTAGAAAGCTATAGGCTTTGCTTCTGTTTTCTTTTCGGGCAAGTGCAAGAATGTTAAATTTGTAGTTGTTTCTCATTTGAATCATTAGAAAAAGAAGGAACTGGTGCCGGGAGTTCTAAAGAGGAAATAAAGTGGATTGCAGAAAAGGAGTAGTGGTTTCTGCAAGGAAAGCCTAAGAGAGAAAAAAAGAAGAGAAAGTGAACCTAGGACTTAAACCTCGTAATGATTGTGGCATGTGAAGCAGGGGTCAACAGAAGAGAGTGACGTTCTTCAGGTCACAGATTGGGAAAGACTTTGGAATTTGGATGAGGGGCCAGTAAAGGAAAAGATTTCTCTTGGCATTTGTGTTATCGGCACAAAACAACATGCATCTACACGCTCTTCATTGAAATTGAGGATAAGAAGCTCGGACAAATTCCTGGTAAGCAAGAAATAAAAACTTTCTGTATTCGACACTTTGATAAAGTTAAAAATCAACTGAAATACGGGATCTTAGTTAAGGACACACACTTGGGATAAAATGATTGGTCAGGTAAGTGACCTGAAATAAGTCATCTTAATTCTCTGGACCTCAGGTTTCTTACATGTGAAGGAGGGTAATTTTAGATGAGGTTCTAAGTCTCTCTTTATGTTTGTGACATGCTTAGGTGCTTTTCTCAGGGTGGGAGCTAACTTACACTTGAAGGTGAAGGGCCCATATTTAATTGAAAGGGCCCAAAGAATTTTGAAATATTGAGTCTCGGGTTTTAGTCTGCTTATTTAAGTCACAATCCCTGGATATCCTTCAATAAGGCAGCAACTCTTCTGTTTTTTTGCCAAGGAACCATGGGGGATGGTGGGAATCCACATCACTGTGTTGACAGTGCACTGGAAAAGCTGTGTGGCTGCTGACTTACAACTCTGGAGTGGCCTTTGAGAGTGATCTGGAACTTTAGACAGCATTCTTGTTTGGGGAAGTCAGTAATCCTTGTGTAGGTTGTGTGTTTGTTTGTTTTGTTTTCCTTTTGTTTTGTTATTTGGAAAAGAGAAAGCTTTCTTTCATCTACTTTTTTTTTGTTTTTATTCTTTATGTTGTTTGTTTTTGTAGTTGTAGTTTAAAGAGTAACTGAGATTGTAATCGTCTGAAATGCTTGGGAGGCAATTTACTACTATGCAGTGCTAGCGTGACTGGAATAGAAATGTTGTGACTTTTGGATCTTGAATCAGAATGTTGAATAGTAAGTACAAAAATGACTGATTGGAGAAACTATGACTGGAGTTGCAGAAAGCAAACATTATTTAATAAAGGATTAAATACAATACAAACATTGCAGCCCAGGAATAATGAAATTACTTTAGAAGAAAATAACATTTTTATGGCATTTATAATAATTGTTTAAGGAGGGTTATCTAGTTCTTTGAACTATTTTAGAAACTGTGTCATGTAATAAAGGCTTAAATAATATATTGCTATCAATACCTCTGAATGCATTCAATGTTTATAATATCAAATCTTATTGTCATATCATTGTTTTCAAATATGTGTGATTTTTCAAATATACATATGACAGTGAGATAGCACAGCTATTATAATAGCTTTTTCCTTAGACTGCCTGCACCATTTTTATCAGATAAATTATAGGTAGCACATTATAAGAATATCAGCAAAGAATGTAATTTTCTTCATACAATACCTTATCTCAACTACCAAAATCTTTTTATTTTGCAGGAAGGAACCAATTGATACGATGTAATCCTTGCTTGTAGTGAACTCTAGCGAATAAACAGATAATTGGATAATTCCTCTACATTTTAAGAACACACACTCTTTTGCCATTGCTGTATGTCACACTACAGATGTGAGGAATCTGTGCTGTCAAAACAGTAGTTTATGAACTTAAAAAAAGTTAGCTTCATTTTGAGAATTTTTCAAACTCTCTTTTCTAGTTGTATGAGAAAACCTAAACAATTAAAACTACTGATTTTAGAAAGTTAATCTCTCTGTATGAACAAATAAACTTTAAGAAAATAAATGGAAAAAAATTGATGAAATTTTAATTTCCTTTGATATTCCAAATAACTGTACTTAAATAAAAATTAAATTTATTATTAGATTTACTAATACCTACTTCCTAAATATAAAAAAGGAAAACTCTCCGGCTTTTTGCATATGAGACCTTATATTAACTTTGAGAAACATTAATAATCTGAGGTACAATATTATAGCAATAATATCACTTTTTAGAGACTCCTTTAAGCTGTATAACAATAGCACTGTAAAAGAATGATCCAGTGTTAAGGAACACTTGAACTCATATGAAATTTATCTATATTACAGCAACAAAAGATTCCCTAGACTAGTTTCACTGTATTGAATATAAACATCAGACTTCACAAAGTGACCTCTAGCTGTACCTCAAAATAGTTCATTTACTTCCCCTTTATCATGTATAATATTAGTAAGCATAACACAACTATTGTTGACTGAAAATAAACTCCTGCATCTTTAGAGAAAATAGAAATTAAGAAGTTGTACTTTGAATAGACTTTACAAACTACATTTCAGGCTTCAAATTAAAAAAAAAATTTTAACATTTATTTATTTTTTAGAGACACAGGGAGATAGAGCGTGAGCAGGGCACAGGTAGAGAGAAAGGGAGATAAGTCTGAAGCAGCTCCAGGCTCTGAGCTGTCAGCATAGAGCTTGACGCGGGTCTCGAACCCATGAACTGCAAAATCATGACCTGAACCGAAGTTGGACGCTTAACCAACTGAGCCACCCAGGCACCCCTTGGGCTTCAAATTTTTAAGATTTTTTTTTTTTTTTCAAGAAGAAGAAAACAATCACGGGGAGGCACCTGGATGGCTTAGCCAGTTAAGTGTTTGACTCTTGATTTCAGCTCAGGTCATCAACTCACTCTTGTGAGACCTGTGAGTCCTGACAACGCGGAGCCTGCTTAGGATTCTCTCTCTCTCCCCTTCTACTCCCCACGTGCTCTCTCGCTCTCTCTCTCTCTCTCTCTCTCTTTCAAAATCAATAAGCAAACTTCAAAAACGAAGAAAAAAAACAATCGGATACCCAATATTTTCAAAGTCAAATGATTTCCACATTACATATGGTCTTTACAACACACTATCAATGGAGAAAAGTGAATTTGCATGAGAAGAACTTAAGCGATAACCGCTTTAACTACTTATGAACATGCCGTTTATCTAAAGTACATTTTAATTTTATTTTAGTCAAAATCCTCAAATAAATTGTCTCTAAGTTCTTCTTAAAGCCAATTACAAAAATAGCACTTATGACAGCATTCCTATTGTTATAAATTTAAAAATAAGTGGGGGCACTGACACATAGGATACTTTCAGAGCCCAGAAAAATGCAAAAAGATAAGATATCTGTTATGGTAATTGTTTTTTCTAAAAATTTCAATAACTAAAAATCTATATAGGCTTGAATTTGACAAGATAAACACTGGAACAATCACAAATATGGGAAACTCAAACACTTCTTAGAAAAATTTACAAACTGAACATTTCAAATTCATGGGATATATACAACGTTAGGTATAAATTTGGATGATAGTCACATATGCAATGAAAAGTACAACAAAAGATAGCCGTGAAAGCAAGGCTCTAAACTACTGAAAAAGTCTAAAACTTAAATTGCTTATTTACCTAATCTATTTTTATAATTTAAAGAATAAAGTCTTTTTTGAGTCTCTATCGACTATAGATAAAACAAGAAACAAACTTGACTTTTAAAACTGATAAATGGGAAGAATGAAAAAAAGAACATCTAGTGAAAAAAAAAGTTGACATAAAAATAGTAGGAATGTTGGAGAAAGACTCTTAAACTCTAAAGAGGAAAATGAGAGGAAAACAGTAAAATCAAGAAAAAAAAATTAATAGGACCAGCCACTGGGCAAAGAGGAGGGCTAAAGTTATTTGGAGAAATAATACTTAACACATTTTTCTCTATTGTGTGTAAAATATTTTTTGTAACTTTGAAAACTCACCTTTATCCACATATCGTGATTGGTAACTTAAAATGAAGTAGAGCTGACAGTTTACCACAGTACCTTTAATCAAAACCATTTTCATAAATTGTTTCGAGTTACACTAAAAATGGCCACAAAGTCATGGCCTATGTGAATACTTGCCAAAATAAAATACATTAAAGACTATGAAATTTATATGTAAAAACTGTAAAAAGAAGAAATTCATTAGGTTTTCAGAAGGTCTTGACTTTAATGAGTGCTGTTGACAATAAATGTTGTTCTAAGGAAACCACAGTCATCTATTTATTGAACCTCATTTCTCCTAAATGTTCCTGCTTCTTTGCCGGAACAAAATGTATTATTGTTAAAAGGTTCTGAACTGTTTTTCAATTATCTGAGTGAATCTACAGCTTGAAGCAAATATTTACCTTATGCCCACAATTAAAGAAAACCCAAACAACAGCTGAAACACAATTCATGCAGTGCCTTACCTAAGAGAAGGAGGAATATTTTGCACTGAAAGATCCCAACCGTGCTGCTGAAGGACTCCATGAAAGCATCCTGTCCCATGCATACAGTGCCCTGTTCCCGGGAGCAACTTGGTTCATGGACCAGCAGCTGGTGGTTTATTTGCTAGGGAAATTAGCAGTGAGGTAACAGACCCTATCCTGTCTCTTGCTTCTGTGATTTGAATACAGAATGAATGTGTATACAAAGGGCACAGGGAGGCACACCTGTTATATGCTCTGCAGGAATACAGGCTTATGACTTTAGAACAGCTTTTTAGCGATTATCAGACTATCAGGAATTGTCAGTGTATTTCATGGGTCATTCTTAGTTATTAATAATCACATGAAGGAAAACATCCTTTTGGGTGACTTTACTGAAAAATGGCATGCTTTCATAATGAGAGCATAGCGTGAAATTTCCTGAAAAATGTACGTTGGTTTCCTATCATGCAAAACTATGCCATTATTTTGAAATTAGAATTTTTTCCATGAAAATTGAAGTATTTCATATATCTGCTAAACAGTTATAAATCACCACGAAGTCACTGAGTACCATGTAAAAGTTATACCAAAGAATCAAAACAGAGCACCTGAATATCTTTAAAACTGATTTTTTTCTATGTATTATTTCCTAATACAAATGTCTGTCATGGTTTTATTCAATCTATGGATTCATGTTATTTTTAAAAGCAAACCGCAGGTGTGTTTCCAAGTGACAGTGAATCATGGACCATGCATAATTATAATGAAAACAGATAATATCTGAAGCCACATTTTCACAGCTGAAGCATAGAGGAAGTAAACCAATGGCCCAGAGAAGCTCTTAGTCTCTACCATGGTGTCAGGGCTACAGCTTTCAGCCTGTCTTCTTCATTGCCATAGAAGCGAGCAGTCTTCGCGCTTCCACTTAATTTACTGAGTTATAAGTTAACTTCCAGTTAATTTCATTTATTGCAAGAAGGCTCTAGTCCAAGGCTTCCACTACATAATGTAACAAAAGCATATAACGGGAAGCATATAACAAAGTATATGACAAAAAAGGCATCAAATCCAGAAAAATTTCCTTGAGTAAATCATTTTTAACAGTAAAGGCTCACTGAAGGAGTTCAATAGGAAATAGGATAATAGGAAAGAGATTCCTCAAGTGTAATTAAAGGTAAACAAAATATAAAGGATGATAGTTATTTTGGAATCCAAGTTTTCAAACGCTTTTTGAAATTAAGGCTCCCAATACTTCCAGAAGTGCTTCTACAGGCAAAGTAAGTGACTTTTGGAAAACCTGAGGCTTGGTTTGTACAAAATGTAATTCGGAAATATAGGTACCACATAGATTCCCCTCATATCTCTTAAATCCATATTAATTTCTAATTGTCTTCTTAAAATAAGCTCTTTCCAGTGTTTTTCAAACCCAGTGCTGGCACATGAGGAAGCATTCTGGGACCTAGGCAAAATGGGAGACGTGAAGACACAGTCGTGGTTTTTTTTTTTTATTTTCCTTAAATGTTAGGTTTACTCAATATAAAAGGGCGGTTTTTATTGTGAGATTTGTTTCTTTTGTATTGTATTTTAAAATGTCCTTGATTTTATGACATAGGTGATAACAGAAACTATGTAAATAAATGCGAAAACGAATCATTGTTGTGATCTTTTCATGTCATGACACAGACGAAAAAACTGCAATGTCTGTGCAGAACGCCTCGGGGAAAGTGCTACGTGGCATATGCATGACAAGGCGCCCTCTCGTGGCGGGTGGTGGGCATAAACTCCTACGTGCTCGAGTAATTTCTGAATACAGGATGTTTGCACAGGAAGCCATACAAGGTAATGCTAAAACAGAACTTAAACTGTTGTCAATTTTTACATGGTTGCTAAACATGGTTTAAAGCGCTTTATTATTATATAAGAAATTTCCCACTGTCAATATCTCACCTCGAACTTGTAACCCACAGAGGGGTTCTGCTCTACTACACTGTTCAGGAGCCTGTTTATTAATCTTAGTTATATTTACATTTAAAGTGAAAAGGCTGATTAACTTAAGCAATCTATATCCATGGTGATTAAACTTCAAGCAATGAGGAGCACCTGGGTGGCTCAGTTGGTTGAGTGTCCAAATCTTAATTTCAGCTCAGGGATTGAGAACCATGTTAGGCTTCACGCTGACCATGGAGACTGCTTAAAATTCTCTATCTCTGCCTTTTGCCTGTCTCTAAAGTAAAAATAAATAAATAAATAAATAAATAAATAAATAAATAAAATTTCAAGCAATGAAAGGAGCCACTGTGTTGGAGGGAGATTTTAGGGAAGGTACGGGCTTTTTTGTAGCCATTTATCATCTAGTTTAAATTTTAATTTTTAATGTTTATTTATTTTTGAGAGACAGAGGGAGACAGGGCACGAGTGAGGGAGGGGCAGAGAGAGAGGGAGATACAGAATCTGAAGCAGACTCCAAGCTCTGAGCTAGCTGTCAGCACAGAGCCGATGTGGGGCTTGAACCCATGAACCGTGAGATCATGTCCTGAGCTGAAGTCGGACGCTTATCCGACTGAGCCACCCAGGCGCTCCTCATCGAGTTTAAATTGTAAGTAAGATTGGTCTTATTTCATAAGGCAAGCAGTCTGCTACATGCATTGCAAACACCTGCATTCATTATTTATTAGTAGCATATGAATACTTTGGAATGGTAAGAAGAATTGGAAAATGCCCATGCCAAGGTCCATGTGGAATAGTGGGGACTAAGAACCAGTGAAAGAAAGCACTGCCTTATGTTGTAATTAGATAGATCCTAGGAAAGGTTACAGTTTACAGGTTATCAGAGAGGGCTGGTCTGTAGAGGAGGCCACCGCCATCGCCTCTGCCTGTGCTGGTGTTCACTTCTATACAGTTCAGCCCAAGGGCTGTCTCTCAGAAGCCTCCGGCTCCTCATGCGGCTGCTAACTGACGATGTAGCAGTCTTCCTTCCTGGGCTCCTCGCCAGGTCACTGCTTTACCTTCAGCAAGTGTTTTTGCTTTTTTACTACTGCTTGCTCAGAAAGTGTAGTTACTTCATCCTGGAGAGGCCACAACTTTGTGCTGCTTTTGTGTTTATAGGATGACTTGAAATGTATCTTCCTAATCAAAGAAAGTTTTGTTTAAGTTTCCAGAGGCTCCTTCTGTTTGGGGCACTAGAAATAGGTCTTCATCCTACTGTCCTCCTAATGCTGCTGCCTTGAACCAGATCAACTTAAACTCTTTACCCTGATGTTCCAATGTACAAAAATGGGGCTGGCTCTCCCTTTACCAAGGAACTACCATCCAGGAAGCTTTTCTTAAGACTTATTGGCAGGCCGTCCAAACTTTCCACTACTTTGCTCCTGCCTATCACTAACGTCCTTCAGGCAAACGTGAACGTCCTAAATAAGCCTTACATTCATTTGTGAAAAATGGAAATGAGAGAACATGCTTCACCTTTTAGAAAGTGTTCTTTAGGGCTCTAGGGTTGTTTGTTTAGTTTAGGGAGCTTAAAATGCATCATGTATGGCTCAGTTATTTTCTATCATGGTAGGGTATGGTGAATTAGAAAATATAGTTTATTTAGAAACTAGCACCGATTTAATTTACATGTTTTCAACATTATAGTTATAGCCTTTAAACTTTTAGAAGACGGGATTGTTCTTTTTAGTTTATAAGAAATAAACTGAAACTTACGGGTATTAGAGTAAAACGAAGTTTTAATGCTTTCTTGACTTTTCAGGGTCATGGAGATACAGAAAACACTCATTTCCCCAATTTGGCTGATAGAAAAAGACAAATGCATGGAATAAAAAGCTTTTTGTTTTGTCACTTGTAACTTTGTTTATTGACTATATTGAGGGGGAGATCCTGGGATTGGAAACGGGTTCTAGTTATGACTCAAGCTCTAATTTTAAAATGTGTGACCTTGAAACCCGAGACGGATAAATTTTCTCATTTCTAAAGAATGGATTTCAAATTCTAGAGCTGGCTGCCGATAATAATCACTGAGGATCTTAAACAAAGAACCTAAATGAAAACATTAACAATAGCTACTCTGCCGGTGAATTTGAATGGTCTTGGATCAGCTCTACGCTTTTCAACTAAATTGTAAACTCCCTGAGGACCAAGACTATATGTTAGTAATCTAAAATGCTTAGTGTAGTATCGTCCAGTCCCTAACAATAAAAAACTGAATTGGGTTTCATTTTACATGCTAATATAGTCAGCATTTTCTGTTTCCTTTGATGCTTTCAGAGACTTTTAAATATTGAAGAGTTTCATGCAATAAGAGCTGCCTGGCAATAAAGACCAGAGCAGGTAAAGAATGAACTAAACCAGGATTTCCCAAAAGTGCCTGGAATTTTTTGCGGGGTTAGAAATAACAGAAAAGCATATAGGTAAACATAATTTCAAAAGGAAGTTTTAAGCACAATGACAGAAGTATGCACAGGGTGATTCGTTTGGAGCAGAGAACCAGGCAGAATTGTGATTAGAATATTTCATAATTGTAAGGCGTTTTACAATTTATAAATTGCATTCACCTTCATCATCTCATTTATGCTTACAAGAACCCGAGGTCAAATATTACAACCTCATTTGTAAAAATGAGACAAAGACAAAGACAAGACTGTGAGGTCAGATAACAATTTCAAACTGAAAATAACCTCTAAAAGGTCCTCTAAACCTCATTCATTTGCAAACTACTTTTATTATGTTTGCCATCTTACTACCACCTATGCTTTTTTTTTTTTTTACCAAATATTTTTTATTAGTTTGGCACACTTTGACACTTTTTCAGTTGTCCTAGGAAATATTTTTGAAATCATAGGTTTGTAATAAACATTAGCTAAAAGTAAATCTAAAAAGAAAGGGTACCACCCTTCAAAACTCACTCTTTTTTTTTTTTTTTTAAATATTTTTATTTATTTTTTTTAGGAGAGCTAGGGAGAGAGAGACAGCGTGAGCAGGGGAGGGTCAGAGAGAGAGGGAGACACAGACTCTGAAACAGGCTCCAGGCTCTGAGCTGGCAGTCAGCACAGAGCCCGACGCGGGGCTCGAACCCACAAACCGCGAGATCATGACCCAAGCGAAAGTCGGACGCCCAACCGACTAAGCCACCCAGGCGCCCCTCAAAACTCACTCTTGAACACCATACATGAAACTCTTACTCAAAGCAACATCTCGGGGACGCCTGGGTGGCTCAGTGTGTTAAGTGGTCCACTTTGGTTCCTGTCATGATCTTCTGGTTTGTGGGTTAGAGCCCCATGGCAGGCCCTGAGCTAAGAGTGTGGAGTGTGCTTGGGAATCTCCCTCCCTCTCTCTCTGCTCCTCCCTGCCTCATGCTTTCTGTCTGTCTCAAAATAAATAAATAAACTTAAAAACCCAACAGATGCATAATCAGTCCTTCAGTTTCTGTTTGCATGTCTGCAGTAATCTCAGACAAGTTAGTTTCCCCATACCTTAGTTTCTTCATCTTTAAAATGGGGATAATTGTACCAATCCCATAGGATGCTTATGTGGATAAATGTAAACCTATTAGCGGAGTTCTTGACATGTAGTAAGCTCTCAATAAGTGTTACCTGCTGTTAGCTCTGGGTCACTTCTTTTTCCTGGTAGTCCCATAACTAGAAAGGTTTTTTTTTCTAGTCCCATAACTAGAAAGGTTATTTTTAAATTTTAGTTTTTAAGTAATCTCTGCAACCAACACGGGCCTTGAATTCACAATCCCAAGATCAAGAGTTGCATGCTCCACCAACTGAGCCAGCCAGGTACCCCTGGAAAGTTCTTTCTTAAATTAAACCCCAAACACTCTCCTATTACTTTCCTCAATTTAACTCAACTGCTAAAAGTTGAAATGATAACTTTAAAGTGACATAAGTACTTATTATTATTGCATTTTCCTTCTTGACTTGCCCTAGGTTGGGAAGGTAGTGAAATAATAGGTGGGGGTTAAATCTTTGGGTTTTATAGTTCTTTGCCGTGGATACCAAGACAGGAAGAACAACCCTAACCCTGGACAGCTGCCTATTGGACAACCTGGACCACACCTTTCTTTAGGCCAACCCTAGAGCCAGCTGGAGAGTACCAGGTTCTCAGGTCACTTCTGGGAGAGTGCCTTCACTTGAGTTCCTGTCATGTCAGTCTCAGGTCCTCCCACCCCGCCCTCCTCCATCAGGTGGAGTTTCCTCCATTATGCTCTTCGGGGAATCACATCAGTCTGGTTTATACTGTCTGCCCAGTGCTTGTTCCTGTCGCTCAATGCCTGGTCACCTACAAGTTATGTTTTCGCCTTATCAAGTGGAATTACCAAGAGCAAGGACTTCTGTAAAGACAGGCCGTCGCGGCGGTCTCTCCGAGCAACAAGATTTGTAGCTTAACCGAAGCGTCCACTCTTTTGCTTGCTGGGAAATGTAGTACCTGAGCTGTCCTCGCCTCCTCGTTGCCGGTGTCGGTGGTAGCCGGAAGACTACAATTCCCAGCATGCTCAGGGAAAGCGAGGATGACCAGGGTCAGCAGCTCCACGTGACTATTCACTATGGCTTCCCTGTGTACGGGCTAGCTGTCTGGTGTTTGGGCGTGATTTGTCAGATCTTTGCCGCAGGGTACCCCTTTCACGATTTCGACATGCAAAAAATCAAATCTCTTATGACCCGACAGGTAAGTCGCAGAGGCTGAAGCAAAGGCCTCCTTCGTTTCTGCTGGCAGAGGAGTCTAGATGTTCTGTCTCTGGGCCGGGGCGGGCGGAGACCTAAGGTATGGCTGGTGGCAGGTGTCAGGGGCACTGGATAGTCGGGGCACACCCTGGAAAACTCACCTGAGCCGCCCTCATCGGAGCCCTGCTCAGGCGGGTAGGGGCGTCCCAGAAACAGTCCTTTAGCGAAGGTCAATGAGGGAGTTTCAATGAAGGCTACCTTTGTCTCCCCTCCTCTCCCTTATGCCATCGTTCCAGTGACACTCCCAGCTACCTGCAGGACTCCCTTTATCCAGGCTGTCTCATCTCTGAGCAGGTGGCCTGGGTAGGGAGGTGAGGTTGGTGCAATAGAGCTGACCTGGAAAAAGTGAAAATAAGTGGATGAATTGAAGACAGAATTGATAGCTTCATGACTTTGGGCAAGTTCCCAAACCTATAATTTCCAGATATAAAAATGAAAATAAAAATAATTTTTGTTAATTTTATCTTACAATTCTGAGAGTCACCAATAAATTAATGCATGTGAAATGATACTTAAAAAATCATTGTTATGGCAAAAATAGTTGCCTTTTATTTTTTGCCACAATGATAATTCAGGAGTAAAAAACTGGCTGTTTTTTATTCCATCTCACATTTTATTCCTAGTAATGTGTCAGCTTCCTTCAAGAAAGGAAGTTATATTTATATTTAGATGCCTTTATTTATTCAACTCTAATATTTCACCAGAATTGGCCATACTTAATTACTTTTACATGAGAGAAGTTAGAGTTGTAAATTAGAGATTTTGAGAACTGTGGAGAATATGGAGGATAGTCATTTAGTGAAAGTTTCATTTGTGAGTTAAGTTGCTGGTTAGAATACAAATTCCAAATTAAATTCTTATTTGAGAATTCAGAATTTGAAAGATACCTGAATAGGTTACAAATGGTAGATATCTTGTGAAGAACACACGAGTCCTACATGATTATTTTACTCCTCTTAAATTATATTGCTAATATCATGAAAACAAAATTTAAAGTTCTGTGAATAATAAAAGATTTAAGTAAGTGGTGATCCCTCACTTTGTTGAGTACTGGTATTATGGTTCATACCACTTGTTACTCGAGGATGTTTGGGTCCTAATCCATCCAGTAGTAGCTATGTGACCTTGAGGAAGTCAGCTAACTTTTTTGAGCATTTGTTAACACATCTTCAAAATAAGAATGATAACATGTATCTCATGGTGTCAAATTGATGGTGATGTTCATGTGATAATGATGAAAGTGAAGAGATCAAAGAGTTAACACAGCTCCTGGGTCTTATGAAGGAAGTGTTTGGTCACAGAGTTCATCTCAGTGGCTGCACCGATGCTGGGAAAGCGGGAAAACTGGAAGCAGGCTGTTGCATTAACAACAAGAGATGATTTCAGGCTGACTTTTGGTGTCTGTTTGATATATTTTTTTTTTTTAGTATCTCCTTAATGTTTACAACAATACCCATTTGTACATTATACCACTACTACCCCTAAACTGCTTCTAGAATGCTGAATTTGAATTTTTGTGCATTAGCTAAATTTGGTCTTCTCTCATGTTGCTTGCCATACAGTCCAGTGTAGTCATCACTGTACAGCAACTTTACTTGTTTTATTGGTTTTTAATCAATTTTGTAATACTGAAGGGAGAGAGAAAATACACAAGTCCAGATACCAGTGATTAGTTTAGATCTCCTAAATGTAGTGAAATTGTGTAAATCGTGACTCTTCAGCCTCAATCAGTTGCTTATTGGACTTGAGCAGCTCAAATCAGTGCTTAGTGGGGATAGAAAAACCCTAAAGAACATATACAAAAAACTGGAACTACACTGTGTAAAAAGTGAAGTACAGTTAGAAATTTACACAGATTTTAAAAGTCATCCTAATTATATTTCTTTATGGCTTGACCTCCACATATTTAATCATTACTAATACACATTTCATGCATCTTTAAGGTATGAAAATGGAGTGCTGCCTGGAGTTACATTGGGAGATTTTTATTTAGTAATGTTTAGTACTGGGTTAAATGTAGTAGTATTACAAATAAATATACACAAAGATGTTTCTTTTTTGTGAGGCTAAGGAATATGCTAATAATATTGTTAATGTGGAGAGATATGAAAGGTC